TCAGTAGTAGCTCTTCCTTTAAAGAGCTTCTTCTTCCACGGCGGATTAGATCCCGAGCTCTTCCTCCTCCGGTCACCGTTTCAGTTTCGCCGATCTCGCGGTTAGAAAATGGCGCAGCATACTCCACAAGTGGTGGCGTCAGGTCTGGCTTCCTCGGCGAGGTATGTGATCACTCTTCACTCCTGAAGGCTGAACCTCTAATCTAGCCAATGTAGAAGAAACTATAGGAGAAACATGCAAGTGTGCAACCATTGATCTGCAGAGAGATAGAGTTGGGAGAACCAGAAAGATCAAGAACGAGCCATTAGACGTGCCAAAGACTTCATCTACATTGAAAACAAATACTTCCTTGGAAGCTCTTTTGCTTGGGCTGCAAATGGTAGCACTCCTGAGAACATCAATGCTCTGCATCTTATCCCAAAAGAGTTATCGCTCAAGATCGTTAGCAAGATTGAGAAATGAGAGAAGTTTAGGGTTTATGTTGTGGTTCCAATATGGTCAGAAGGCCACATGAGGGCGCAAGGCAAGAAGCACGCCGCTTCATGATTTACGTCCACACCAAAATGATGATCGGTAATGTTTTACATTTTAATTTAAAAAAGAACTTGTGTGTATTTACTCACTAGACGACCTATTGTGCAGTTGACGATGAATATATTATCATTGGCTCTGCGAATATCAACCAGAGGTCGATGGATGATGCAAGGGACTCTGAGATAGCAATGGGAGGGTATCAACCACATCACTTGTCGCATAGACAACCAGCTCGAGGATAGATCCATGGATTCCGCATGTCACACTGGTACGAACGCATGGGAATGCTGGATGAGACGACCTTCCTTGATCCTTCAAGCTTGGAATGTCATAGAGAAAGTTAACCGCATTTCTGATAAGTATTGGGACTTATACTCATATACTGGAACATGACCTTCCTGGTCACTTGCTCCGCTACCCGATTGGTGTAGCCAATGAAGGTGACGTCATTGAGCTTCCAGGATGCGAGTACTTCCCTGACACAAAGGCACGTATTCTAGCCACCAAATCAGACTACGCGCCTCCGATTCTTACAACCTAACTTCTGTCTCTGCTTGATGCTGCAGTAACTTTGAATACACTGAGTTTCTCTGTCTTTATCTTTAGAACTAATGAGCTACCCTTTGGTTTTAGATTCGTACAATGACGTGATGAGAAATGTAGCTTTATGATATTTTTACCCTTTTTGTGTGGTTAACCATGTATCCTTAAACTTATGAATCTTTATATATGATCTTATTTTTGTATGTCTCACAATAGAAGTAGTCAGTAGTAGTAGTTGGTCTTGCTTCAAGAACTCAAAAAGTTGTGCAAACATGAGTCTTAAATCTCATTTAGAAAACTCGAAGCTGGACTATTCGTCGGTATTGTTTGCCTATGAATTATTTAGGCTTTGAACCAAACACCACCGGTTATCAAAGAAAATAAAGTTTTGCTTTTAAGGTAGAGTAAGAAAAGAAAAACCCACAGTGTTAGTTTTCTTACTTTAGATTCAGTTTCAAGTAGATCTTTTGATCTTGCCTCCTTAGCACCTTCCCTTGATTCTTTCATTTAGCATGGTCCCCGTAACCAAAACTCAAATGAATTTCTCTGGCATAATATATTCAGAGTTGGTTACCTAAAGAGACACATTTTGTCTTTTGTTTACACACAAACACACATTGTGCTTGCAAGACACATTATTTTGGATTTTAGTGTTTGATTAGACTTTTCTGCCCCCATGCTTGCCAAACCAATGATGTCTCTGGTTAGGGAACTGGTTTGACTTAAAAAGATGTTGGTTTATTGTCTTTTGTTTGACACCGTTGGATGAACAAAAGACATTTCTAATCAGATGGTGATGGTTGCATAGTATGTGAGCGTATCTACGGTTGACGTTTATAGTTTAGTTAAAGTTGATGTTGACGTGAATTTATTGCTTGTGTTCATAGGTTAGGAAGAATAGTCGAAAATCTTGCTTGTGGAAAGAATCTGGGTTGAGGTTTGACGATAAATATGGCGCATGTATTTTTGCGATTTTTATCAGTAATCTTATTGTGGTATTGATGTTGTAGGTTTTCGCAATTGAGGATTGAAAATTTAAATTAAGAAGACGAAACCAGTTTGGATTGTTAGTGGATTTTATTGGGTGAATCATCAAGAGAACCAAAACACTGTTGGTGATTGTTTTATAATTTATTCATAAGATAGCAAATGACTTTTGGTCTTCGATAGCATGTGACTTGTGGACATGGATGAAAATTGAAGGATATTAGTAAATAGTCAGGGTGTGGATAGAAATTAAAAAAAAAACAATGTCCACAGATATGCTTGGGACAAACCAAGCAAGAACATAAATGTAGCGTTAGGATATTAGATTGTTTAGTATCTTAAAAACACAGAAAACATCATCTGGAAAAAGATACACTGGCGTTTTAAATACCAAGCAAAAGAATGGCCTTCTAAACACCAAGTAAAAACGAGTTAACACAGAAACATAGAAAATAGATGGTCGTCTGACTGATCATGGCAAGGATGGAGCATAGTAAGCAACGAGGACGATGGTCTTGTAAATGGTGCTAGATAGGGGTGGCGTTGACGGTGGAGATCTGGACAAGGTGTGTGTGGATGGTGGAGGTGTGGATAGAGGGGGTGTGGACGGTGGAGGTGTGGACAGAGGGGGTGTGGACGGAAGAGGTATGGACGAGGGAGGGGGGAGTGTTGACGAGTGAGGTGTTGACATGAGAGGTGTGGACAGGGGAGGTTGGAGGGATGACATGTGTACTGGTTTATTGTCTCTACCTAGTCAAAGAATTGTTTGGAGGGAGGCGGTGATCCGGTTTGTTGTCTTCTAATAAGATAATGAAACATGAACAAAGAAGATTAGGCACAAAAGTGAAGAAATTGGCACATGAATAAAATAGGATTTTGAAACTGTAAACTCAAAAAAAAATTGGATCTTTAAAGAAAAACACATATATAAACATTTTACAAACTCAAAATCCCGACATATATGGCAACCGTTTGGAACTATGAATCAAAAAATCCAAAATCAAAACTTGAGAGATCAAAATAGGGGGAATAGTTAAAAACCCCAAAACCCATAAAAATAATATGATGTCGGTTTGAAAGAAACTAACCTATCATGTCTTGAGATAGAAATCGATTGGAGGAGAATGGGAGATTGTTAATGAAACTTGGATCTGGGCAGTAACTGGTACTTTAGCTGAATAAGAAAACAGTGGGTTTCGGAGAATCTTGGTTCTTAGGGGTTGCTGCATCTGAGGAGTGAGAAGGGTCTTATGATTTTTTAATTTTTTCAAATTCATAGGTGTGAGAATGGATCTTCTGATTTCTTACGGGGATTTGGAGTTATTGATTTGGTAAACTAGAGGGATCTGCAAATGGGAAGACCACGTGTTGTTTTGGAAAAAGAATACTAATAAAAGAGATAACTGAGTTATGTATGGTTAGAGGGTATTCGTGTCTTTCCAACACCAGAAAGAGTGTCTCAAGCGGAATGTGTCTTAAATTGAAATAACAAAGTCAAAAAGTGTCTTTGGGTGTAAAAGATTCATATATTCACGTATGGTTTTCACTTCTTTCTTTCTTTAGCTTCTCGTTGTCTTCTCTATGGTCGCATAGCTGACAATCTTATTAGAGATATCTCATATATATCTTCTAAAAAGGACCCTAGCTATGAATAAGAGAACAATTGAGAGCTTTACAAATCTCCCCTCTCCTGAGCCGTAGCAACTCTCCTAAATTTAGCAAAGATCAGAAACATCCGTATCGACAACGCTGATCACTCCATCCTCACGGCTTTCCGTAGCACCAGGATAGAGATCACGTGGGCAATAATAAGTTTCTCAAAGTTAGAATTTTGTAATGTTTGAAAGTTACAACACAATTGAAGATTAGAATAATAATAATAACAATTTTTTTTTGTAAACTTATTTATTTTATAAACAGAAGATCCCTATAGGATCATTTAATCAGTTTATAGTTCTCTCTTTCTTGTCGTTTTTCTTCTTTGGTCCTCGTGTTGAATAGAGAATTGTAAACTGACTTAATGAACCTTTTTTTTTTAACTTATGACTTAATGAAACTTCAGAGATCTACAAATACTTTTAGAATATATGTACAAGTATCTCTGTATTATATAGTTGTAAATTGATACCAAACATAAGAGTGGGAGCAACTAGTCAAGAATATTCCTTCTCTCTGTATTAAATTCTGTTTTATCAAATCTTATTCGTCCACCTTCTGTTCATGTATTAATATTCTTACGCACTCTCTGATCTTATGTCAACATATACCTAAAATAGAACCATATAGACTTATAAAATTTCCACTTGGCATTAGCACATGTTACAGTACACGTTACAGGATTAATCTAATATGTATAAATTTCCACTTGGCATTAGCACATGTTACAGTACACGTTACAGGATTAATCTAATATGTATGATAATAAAGAGAACTTCGATGGAAGAACCATATTGCAAAAAAACACCATCAATCATATTAAAACAGAAGTACCAATAAAATATACCCCTTAGTTTTTCAAATTATTTACACAACAATACCATTGTATTTATTAATAATCCTAATTTTTAGTAATGTTGTCTTTTTCAGTTAATGTAATACATTTCTTAAATTGTTTTTTTAATTTTAAAAACAAAATCATTTCTGGATATCCCCTAAATTTTGTCATATAACAGTTTATGCAACTGATTTTTTTTTTTTTTAAAATATACAAGTTTAAATATGAAAATAATAGAAATGCACAATAACTTACATATTTAATCAAGTTGGACCATTTAATAACATATAGTCAACGTTTTTAAATACTAATTTCAATTATCATTAATGTTTAAAAATGTCATATTAAACAATAGTTTAATACATATATATTTTAAAATTATATATTATATGTATATATTTGCTAAAATGTAAAAAAAAACCCGCACGGGTGTGCGGGTCAAGCATAGTGTAATTTATAACGTATGATCAAACTGTTCTTTCTTACAACACATTTAATTCGGTCGACGTATGAGTCTAGATCTACAAATCAAAATTTAAAACATTTTTCTGATATACATATAATTTAAAAGTAAACAAAATAAACTTGTAAAAACATTACATATATAATTTCCCAAGACAGACTTTATATTATGTAACGTGGCAACTTTTGTTTTTACACACATTGATACACAAACAGCCTCTAATGTCCAAATCCAAAGATCAGAGACTAGTCCTCCACAAAAGGGTGCACCTGTTCATCACCAATCTCAACTGGATCATCACCGTTGATCTGGTCAAGAACAAGGACCAAACCCATCGCGAAAGCGCCGTCAAAACCAGGTTTGATCTCGAGGGTGAACACATCTCGTCCAAGCATCACGTTCATTGACAAGTCCACTTTGCGTTTTATCTCAGCCACAGTTCGTTTCTTTGTGTCGTATATGAGACAGTTTCGTTGCGAGAAGTCACCATCTATGGTGTACTCTTCTCCCGTTTCATCGTAAACTTCTATTTCCATCGTGCACCGTCCGATTATTGATGATCTTCGGACACTGAAGATTGGTTTCTGACCATCTGATCTCTCCCCGAGAAAACCTTCCCATCTTTGGTGCAGAGTCGGTCTCTGCTCATCAAAACAAAAACCAATAAACAAACGAGTTGACTCGGTATTATTTTAAAACTAATAATTTGGTATAAAGACATATGGAACTCGGCTAAAACAAAAAGTTGACTGGATTTTTTTAGTTCAAAATAATTTCTTCAGATCCTATTCTAACAAATTTTATCGAATTTTAGCAAAACCCTTTTAATCAAATCACCCCAACACTTTCTCCAAAAAAAAAAAGAAAAAAAACACCCCAACACAAAATTTCTACATGTAAGATATTTTCCCCAAAATTATCAAGAACAAGAAACCATAGCCATCAATATACAAAATATCTTTACCAAGAATAACTATAGTTGCCAAATGATTTATCCAAACTCAACAGGATTTATTCACACAACCAATTGTTTTTATGGACTGCAACTAATCGGTTTGCAATAGATAACGGTCCAATAATGACCATGTTCGATACATACTATTTCCACATGAGTTTGTGACTAGTCCACTATAACTCAATGTAATCTTAAATTTTATCTAATTGTTTTGCAAATTTTGATTTACTTTTTTTTGTTGTTGTTTGAAATATGTTTATGAATATATATTTCTTACAAAACCCATCTAAGCAAAAACAAGTGCAATATATAGTTAATTAATTTATACGACGGTGTCCGGTGATTAGATGGGGTTTTGTTACAAAAACCATCTAATCAGAAAAGTTATTTGTAATCACTAGAGGATGATAGATCGACTTAATTAATTAATTACTAGTTAATTATAATATGTTTTACCTTTCTTTTAACCGTGAGGAGACACTTTCCGGTGGCGTCCATGAGGACAAACTCGTCGTTATCTCTTGTGTCGGGTCCATACGAATCAACCCTAAAGATGATATCGCCGTGACAGTCGTAGGCGGCGAAGCCATCGCCGGTGTAGAAGAGAGATGTTTTGCAGACGGTGAGTGGTTTGTCTTCTTCGTAGAGATAAGCTTTGTCGACCACAACTCTTTTTTCACCCATCTCTTCAACTAATTCCATTTTTTTCGTTGGTGGAAGTTAGATTTTGTAGTTTGATTAACGAATGATTATGTTATATGGACACTCTTCTCCTTCTTCACAATGCTTATATTTATATCATTATATGGATACACACGCGTAACGCGTATGTATTTGCTTAACGACTAAATATCTCATCCTTCATAAAGTCTAAATTATTACTGGCCAGAAATAAAGTCATGCATGTGTATAAATAGTTTAATAACATGCGATGACTTTTTTTTATTTTTTCTTTTAAATGACATGCGATGACTCTAAAATGTTGTTTTACTAGTTTTTGTTTTATTTTGTTTAGACTTAAGCTTAACCATTTTATGTGTTTACACGCCGGTTTTAAATTGCTATGAATGTTTATTACAAATTTGTATATAAGGGTATTTTTAACTTTTGTCTACAAATGTTTAATGTATTCACAGTTCACACTGCCAATTTATTGTAACGTCATAAAGACGTCTAACTAAACACTTTACTTTTTTATTGAGTCTTTTTGTAAATTATTAAACGATGCGTCATATCATGAGAAAAGAGAAATCGGAAAATGATGGATGGATGTGGTGGATGATAATGTGAATCAAAATTTGTATCATGGTGAGATCTGTTTGTACGTTAATTGAGGTTTATTAAAGTTAAGAAAAGAAACAATGAATCAAGCAAACACCAACAATGTCCCAATCCTAGCCTCCATAATTAGACAAACACGTTCTAATTAGGCGACGATTGGACAAACACGTCTAGTCTAGTTATGTGAAAAAACATATATACAAAATCACCATCCCTTGAGTAACATATATATATTTGAATGATTACGATATACAACCCTTGAGAAATTAATATTTATCTTAAACATTAATTAAATAGTTTTTTTAACGAAAAACACATTAAATAGTTATCTATACCGATTTGTGTTCTTCTACACAGCTGCATTTCAGGTATTCTTTTACAACATTTTATATGCATATTGATAGGACAAAAAGCCGATTACTTATGATACTACAAAAGAGAGACCAAAGATTAAAAATATTGGTTTTATTGATCAAATAGCAAAGATCCAAATAATCCAATGTATAAGAGTGGAAAAAACTTAATTTTAGATGCTTGTTTGTTGTAAAAGTAGATTGAATTGGTTAGAGTTTTGAGCTTGTATTTATAAAGAGAATCGTATATGTCATTTGATATCATAAAAGATTTGTGTATATTCTATATATTTATCTAGAAGATTTTTTTTAATCATTAAACATTAGTTTCATCTTGTCCAATAGACATTATGAATTCTTCCTGGCTATGAAACTGGCCTTTGGTGTATTGTTTTTAACCAAAATGATTTCTCCTGGATTAATTTATGTCCAAGATCTACTATAAATATACGAAACCTACTGTAATTATATGATTTAAAACAGTTAAAACTGTTGGTTATGTTCGAATACTATTTCTCAAATATTTTGTGCTAAACCGACATGTAACAAACTAAATGTCATCTTCTATGTTTTTCAACAACTACACTATTATGGAGAGACGTGTAATCCTCTTTTTTTTATTTGCAAATTGATTTGTCACATATCTTTTCTATAATATTTTTATAAAAAAATAATGACATAACTACTAAAATTGATGATATAACTTATATTTAAATATGACATGATACAATTACATTTATTGCTGATATATATATTTTTGGTAACCTTTATAAAATATGTCAATAACTGATACATTACATTTAATGTTGATTTATATTTTTGGTAAACTTCTTAAAATATGGTAATAATTCATAAATCAAATCATCAATATAAATAAATATATTGAAATATGCATTATAAATTTTGAAATGCTATTTAATTTTATTTTTCTAATTTTACAATTTTTATTACTAATATTTTCAAAAAAATTCTACATCCTTTTTAAAAAATAATAAAATTTAATCATAATATCATTAGTTTCTTTTATATTTTGATGAATTTTATAAATATTGTTTACCTATAATTTTTAATAACTATACAATTTTATATGAATTTCTTAGTAATTTATACAAGTTGATTTAATACATTTAACCAAAATAATAGATAAAAAGTTTTAAGATTTGAATTTTAAATATATTACATATATATTGTTAAATAAAATTTAAAATAAACAAATTTATTTTTCTTAATTTTGTGCTTAATTAAATCAAATTTATATTAAATATTTGTCAAAGTAATAAATATATAATATTAAAAATTTAGTTTTAGATATAATTTAACTTTTAAAAAGTTTATCACAATACATGATGCAGAAAAACACCTAGTAGTTATCTTAAGAAAAATGTGAAAGAAGATTTGGGCCAGGCTCGAGCTTGAACGAAAACAATCGATACAACCATATGAGACCTAAGATTTTGGTCAAAATTTGAGGGCCTAGTTTTTTCATTGTTATTACTTATATGTACAATGAGTATAAAGAAAATTGTGGGAAAGCACTAACCAACAAAGATAATTAAATTTTCTATATTCTGTGTTATTAATATGAATAGATTAAAAGGCAAAGAAAAAGGAAAAAAAATTATAAGAACAACAAAAAATGGAAAATAACTGATTCTTTCTATAAGCTGAAATTGATAAAGTCTTACCTACGGTTAACTATGTCACAAGCAAGATTAAATGGTTTGACTATGTTATCGATTGAAAAAGATATGATGAAGAACCTTAATTATGAAAGTTTAAAGGATGATTTTGCAGAAACAAGCAAGAAGATTTATATTTAAGAACGTATAAGCTTTTTTTTTCTTTTTGAGGATATTATATATTTTTATTATAAACTTAAGTTTTTAATTGATATTTTTAAAAAAAATATTATTTAGAGGTTTTAATTTTGTATTTCGTATTGGACCATGAATATCTTAGGACAGGTACTGATTTGTGCACAAGAGAATCATATATTCCTCAATGAAATAAACTAGTCCTTATTCAACACAGCAGCAAATCTTTTGATACTCTCCAAAATTTTGAATTAAAGGAATATACACATTGTTAACACACCTCAATTCGTGAGAACAAACACTAGTTATATTATACTATGGTAATGAGAATCACTGACTCTTCTCTATCTTTTTCTGTGTGTTTTCGTGTAAAATATTATACTTGACATATAAAAGGAACAACAAGTAAAGCCCAACAAAGAGAGATGAGAAAAATAGCAAAGACTTGCGTAAACGTCGCTCTCAAACCTCATCTCATACTCATCGTTTTCGTATGAGTTTTTGTAGCCCAAACCATCTTCCTTCCACAGTTTATAATATAAAGAAACTATACTTCCTTCGAAATCTCCGCCTCATATCTTTTATATAACACATCTCTCTAAACCTAAAAAATGTTCCCCTCCGTTAAACTTAACGGTCATGTCAACTAATACCGTCGTCCCTCTCCGTCGCAGATCTAACGGATATCACACTAACGGCGTGACCTTTAACGGAATGGAGAACATTGTCAAGAAAACCGACGATTGTTACACCAACGGCAACGGAGGAGGAGGGAAGAGCAAGGCGTCGTTTCTGACATGGACCATGCGCGACGCTGTCTACGTGGCGAGATACCATTGGATACCGTGTTTCTTTGCGCTCGGAGTTCTGTTCTTTATGGGCGTTGAGTACACGCTCCAGATGGTTCCGGCGAAGTCTGAGCCGTTTGATATTGGGTTTGTGGCCACGCGCTCTCTGAACCGCGTCTTGGCGAGTTCACCGGATCTTAACACCCTTTTAGCGGCTCTAAACACGGTATGTCGTAAGAGTTAATTTAGGTTAAAACTATATTTAATGATTATCTTCAATTCTTCATGCCTCACCTAACATTTTGTATTTTTTCTTTGTCATTTAACTCGTAATAATATATTGAATTAGTCAAAATAAAATAGGTGGGCTTAGTGATGGATGTACATAAATCTCAGATCTTTTTTCTTATTCTGTGTGGTATTTAATTTTCCAGCTGGAATTTTGCTGTCCACGGTATCGTGCAATTTTCTTTAAAATATTTTTAAAGAACTTTTTTGTTTTTTGTAAATTTATTATTATTTATTTATTTTTATATTTTTATTTTAAAAACATAATATAACTAAACAATATTTTAAAAAAAAATAAATCAAATATGAAATAATACCTAAGATGAATAAGGTTCACTCTATGGAGGAACCCAATAGTAATTCATTTTCTAAGAGTTGAAATGTTGATAAGAATAGTGTTTATCAGGTAACTAGTTGGCAAAAATGTATTTATTGTAGTTTCAGCTATCAAAGTAGTAGTATAATCTTACTTTTAACAACTGTTATTTTGTTTGTTCGTTTTCTTTATAAATAAGTAGTACGACTATAGATTAGATTGCTTTAAAGTTTAAACCCAATAGAAAGGGACACATGGTGATGAGTTGGAGACATGATCACATGCAATGCAAAGAGATTGGTTAGATTCGATTTTGTACTTTAAACTATTTAATTGGTGGGTGGTGGGGACAGGTATTCGTAGCGATGCAAACGACCTATATTGTGTGGACATGGTTGATGGAAGGAAGACCACGAGCCACTATCTCGGCTTGCTTCATGTTTACTTGTCGCGGGATTCTTGGTTACTCCACTCAGCTCCCTCTACCTCAGGTCCCAATCTTTACTTCTCTCTCTAATAACAACTTACTATTAAAAATAATTGATTGATATTGTACCAAATAGATGTATTTATGTAAAGACCCCACATATTGTTGAACTTGAACGTGTGATATTCCTTTGGCCACTACCGAATCCCAAAATATTTTGATAATCCGGACATCTAAACTAAAAAGCATAATTTCACAAAACACCTGATTTTGTAACAAGAAAAAAGAAAACAAATGGTTTATGAATTTATGTTAGACATATTTTTATAGGGGTTGTTGAAATCCTACATAACAACTTACTCTGAAAAAAAGAAAGTATAAAATGATCAGTTTATTTTGAAATAGAAGGAGTTATTTGATTGTTAGCGTAGAGAGGGAGGGTAATTTGTAGTGGATTGGTTGTATCACTGTTTTGGTTTTGGAGTTTGTTTTTGTTTGCTACCGAGTACCGAACTTTTTCTCTATCTTCCAAAATAATGTTTCACGGGATGACTGACTGACTGGACATAAATCACATTGTCTCTCACTCATCTGCTTTCTACGGTTCTATTATTTTCTCTTTTATTATGTTCTTTTTTTTTGAGAAATTTTCTTTTATTATGTTCAAGTAAAACATGATTAAAGGTACTTTATTCAACTCTTTTTACAGGATTTTTTAGGATCAGGGGTCGATTTTCCTGTGGGAAACGTCTCATTCTTCCTCTTCTATTCTGGTCACGTAGCTGGTTCAATGATCGCATCCTTGGACATGAGGAGAATGCAAAGGTTGAGACTAGCGATGCTTTTTGACATCCTCAACGTATTACAATCGATCAGACTGCTCGGGACGAGAGGACACTATACGATCGATCTTGCCGTCGGAGTTGGCGCTGGAATTCTCTTTGACTCATTTGCTGGGAAGTACGAAGAGATGATGAGCAAGAGGCAGAATTTAAGCAATGGTTTTAGTTTGATTTCGAAAGAGTCGCTAGTCAATTAATTTTTGTTCTGTTTTCTTTTGATATGTTTTGTTGAACTTGAACATATTTAATTTAGTTGAAGTCTAATGAATTACATTTTTTCAAATGATCTTAGTGAATAGGGTTAATTAGTTGAACCTAACTAAATGTGTGTGTACGTTATTAGAGTTTCTTGTGGTCTTCCTACAACTACATACGAGTCTTATCTGAAAGTCGTAGGCTCTGCAACTAAGTAAAAACTAAAAACATCTACCATAGAAATTGATAAAATAATATTTAAATCATATAAATCACAAAATTTGATTATTCGACTGAATGGTGATTCTATAACATTCTTATATAACTACAAAAGTAATCAAAATTGCAAAATCTTTCGACCATATTGGTATTGCGTAAATTGCCAATCGATCAGAGGCTAAATCCGATAATACCAAAAATAAGGATTAAATAGTAAATGTACTTCTTCACCATTTCTGGTGCTACATGTGTTTTGTTTTCTATTAGTTGGTGTGAAGATGGTTTTCGTATAAGTTAACGGGACAGGTACATCAATCCATGATCGTTGCTAGTTTGGTCCAGGGGAAAAGCAACATATCATAATCAATTGATTTTGTCATTTTGTTGTTGAGAAAATTCCCCAATATAATAATGTACGTAGTCTTTAAATATAATAGTTTAACTAATCAAATTTACTAATATTCGGTGGTTAAACAGAGAGATAATTAAGTGTAAAGCTCTCTATATAATTAAGTGTTAATCAACAAGTGACACTAGTAGTCAATTACCACATGTATTTATTAACATATAGTATTCAAATTCAAATACTGATATTAACATATCTGTGTTTATATATTTACATGAATAAAGATTGGTTCTATTCATCAGAATCAGATAACTCGAGAGGGCAAGAACCATCATCAACATTAGCCAACGGGTTGAAATGTTCTGAATTTGTATCCATGCACCCAGGAACGAGATCCAGATTGCATCTATCACCCTGACATTCATTCACAAGTTTAAAAATTTTAAATGTTAAGAAGTATAGTCTAACAAACGACTTGTAGCATATATAGTTGGTGATGAGATACATACTCCTTCGACCGTCAAATTGGCAATCATTGTGCACCGTGTCGCAACAATGTTGGAGTCAGGAAATATTGCTCTCTCGCAGGCTCCATCTTGGCTCAACTCATTCGCTAGACCCTTTTTGCACCAATTGATAAAATATACATTGGTAACGCAGCAATAATATGAATTGAAGTAAAATAAACTCGATATTTATACCTCATTGAAGAACTCAATAGGTTTGTTTTGCCATCTCTTAGGGACCTGGAACTGAAGTTTGTATGGACCATCCCAATCGACACCATTTGTGAACGAGAATATCAAATTCACAGCTGAAATCAATTCATAAGAGGAAATGAAAATGTCAAATTGTATTATTTATAACTATTTATTCACATAATAATGCTTTGATTTTATCGTTTTAAAAACGGACCGTGCTTAGGAATGCAAATCTGCATAGTGTAAATGGGAGAGTCGGCTTTGCCTCGATCTTTTTTAAGCATTGCTCTTGGTTCCCCACCACACATGATTGGTTGGTTAAAACCTCCTGCACCATGATTTTACTTTCCTTTTCGTTTGTTATTCTATAAGACTAGTCTATGTAGCGTCCGACTAGTTTATTATGGCAAGATGTTACTCACAATCATAGTTTGATGTAATTAGTGGACTAAACTCCATGGCTGATGAGTATAGTATTACAATAAGGTTGCTAACCAATTTTGAACCAAACCAATCCTAAAGAATACAAGAGTTGATTAGATCTTGTATGAGAATCTCACCGTTGAAAGCAACTCCATAGTCCTCGTTAGGAGTGAGTTCAGTTGCAGCTGGATTATAGAATAGTTTCAACTTTTCACCCTAAATCAAAAAGTTATATAGGCAGTGGACTGAGTTAAAGACTCTTAGCTTTGAACTGAGCAATGGGTAGAGAAACTTACTGCGGTTGGAGGAAGACCGTTCATGGTTTTCCAGTACACTGGAGCTCTCCCCATCTCAAACATTGCCCATGAAGGAAGCTTATATCTACACAATTAATCAACCACGAACTATGTTAATATATACTGTTATATAGACCAAAAGTAACAAGAATAAAGGTCATACTCTTTGATATTAAAAAAAAAGGTCATACTCTTTGATCTCTTCAAGGGGTGCAAGAGTCGTGGCAACAGCTTTTACTTGGAGATCAAGCTTCCTCGTTGGTGATCTCCTCTGTAGTGGACTAACCGTTGAACTGTACACTACAAATTATTCAAAAAGCTTCAACTATTTTTGATGCTAAATATCACACTATATAAATCAACACCAAGAATTACATGTGCTGAGTGTGAAAGACTTACAAAGATTGCGTTTAGAGGTTAAAGGTTGCAAAGGAGAGGCGAAAATAGTAGTGGTGTTAGCGGCTGCAGCCATGGAAAACGATCTGATGAGAAGCTACTCCGGATGGTAGAAGGAAGAGTAGTTGATATATTGTTCAAGATAAGGATTCTTTTGGCACCACAAATACAAATATCTTCATGATTTTTTTTCTAACCAGATGAAAACAAAAACTTGCTAGTCTCATAAGACACAAATATCTTGTTTGAATTGTTGGAACATTTCCCTCTCTTATTACGATAAGCCCATTTAAAGAATAACCAACCTAAGCCCAAACATGAAACTCACAAAACACAATCGTTTTGGGGCGATTTGTAAGTTTTTGATAAAGACAAGGGTAGATCAGACTCTGTTTAGTTCACTGCTCCCAAGTTACACCATCTTATTACAACACTACACTACTTGTGTACATACAAAAAGACAGACTCTGTTTAATACACGCACACGTATATATATGTATGAGAACGTAGGTCTTAAGTCTTCTTCTTCTCTTGGCTATCACATCGACAATGGCTTCTCTTTTGAGTTCCCCACTAACAAAGACCAAACCTTTACGCCTCTCTTCACCTCCACGAACACTAACAACACCACCGTCCTTAAACCTCACCAGAATCTCATTCACCAACAGCCAGAAGCTCGCTCCTTTCAAGCTCCCGAGCCTCGTCTCCACTTTCTCCGAAAAGAGTCTGAAGCGAGATGTCACAGCTGCTGCGGAGTCGGGAGATTACAGAAGGATAATGCTCTCCGACGTGATGGTGAAGAAGAAGACGGATAAGGTGCCATGGTGGGAAAGAGAGTGGTTGGCGATGGACTTTGGAGCTGTTGCTGTGGTGTTCTCATTGCATGTGCTTAGCTTGTTGGCTCCGTTTCATTTCAACTGGAGAGCTTTTTCGGTTGCTTTTGGACTCTATATCGTTACTGGTCTACTGGGTGTTACTCTGTCTTTCCATAGGAATCTTTCTCATAAAAGCTTCAAGCTTCCTAAATGGCTTGAGTACTTGTTTGCTTATTGTGGAGCTCAAGCTCTTCAGGTGAGTGGGTGAATCTTTCATAGGTTTTGATGATAATGTAGTTTGGTCTTTATATTATGTTGTTTTCTATCAGGGGAACCCTATTGATTGGGTGAGTACACATAGGTACCATCATCAGTTCTGTGATTCAGACAGAGATCCTCATAGTCCACTTGATGGGTTTTGGTTTAGTCATATGAATTGGATGTTTGATGCCAATACTATCACGCAAAGGGTAAGGCTTTGTTTTTTTCTTTGTCATTACTATATCTTGTCTCAGAACGTGTTCTTGTTGTGTGTGTTTTTTTTTTGATGTTTCAAGGTTGGTGAGCGTAATAATGTTGGTGATTTAGAGAAGCAGCCTTTTTATCAGTTCCTTAGATCCACCTACATTTGGCATCCTGTGGCTCTAGCTGTTGCTCTATACGCATTGGGAGGCTTCCCCTTCGTTGTTTGGGGGATGGTATGTTCATTTTGAGTCTATCACTGTTAAGTTTGTGTGTGATGTCACTTAGTGGAACTTAGATGATTTGATCCTCGGCCACGCAAGTTGTGTTAGTTGAACAAAGACAGAACCATAAGTAAATGTGTTATTTTCTTGTACGGAAAGGTCTCTCTAGCTTCATGCTCTTCTCGTGAATGTGTAATAACTTAGAAGTGAAACTATACATTCTTGTCCCTTACGTCTCTAATCTCTATTGTTGGGAATTGTAGGGTGTAAGAATAGTATGGGTGTATCATATAACTTGGCTAGTAAACTCAGCTTGTCATGTATGGGGGGAACAAGCATGGAACACTGGAGATTTGTCTAAGAACAACTGGTATAACTTATCATTATCTTAATAATTGATTGAAAGATTTTTGTATATAGTTTTAATCTGAGTTATGATGTTTCAGGTTGGTAGCAGCTTTAGCATTTGGAGAAGGATGGCACAACAATCACCATGCTTTTGAGTTCTCAGCTAGACATGGCCTAGAATGGTGGCAACTTGATATGACTTGGTATGTTGTTAACTTCCTTCAAGCCCTTGGATTAGCAACCGATGTTAAGCTGCCATCAGAAGCTCAGAAACAAAGAATGGCATTGACTAGCGACTGATCCTAAAACTATGTGGTTATGACCAGTATCAAAACTGTACCATTGGCGCTATGAAAAATTTAAAAAGGAGTTTGTGCTTTTTTTGTGTGTTATATATGTCTGCGCAAGAGACTGTATGTGACAAACTGATTATGAATTTTAAACTACTATAGTTACATTAAATACAAAAGAATAATAATAGAATGAAAATCACGTTTTAGTTGGCCAACGTATCCATACTTTCTATTCTTTTCACTTTATTCCTTGCCTTCCACGCTATGTTGTCAATAGCTAAGGTAAGGTCTTCCAACTTCAACATATCCATTTCATCTTTAACCCATTTAAATGGCTACTTAACTCAAGTGACGCCCTCCCTTTCCTACATCTGAACTTGTACCAGAGGGAAAAACAACCCTAATTGGAAAAAATTTAAAATAATAACCCTAACAATGTCACACACACATATAGATATTCCCTTTTTATAAACTAACTTAAATTTCCCTTTTACCAAAATATTAGTTTTGCCCGCAAAGTTCACATTCTTCACGGGTATAAACCGTGAGAAAACGAAACAAAACGGGGGAGAAAATGGAAGTTGGAACTATTGGGATGTGATGGAATAATATGGATCTTCGGAGTTCAAATGCTCAGCGGTTGAGCTCAGACTCTTAGATGGAACTGGAATTACATTGTTGTATCACCGGAGTCATTCAGTATAACACCGGACTTTCACACTGCCTAAATAGCTAGAATGTCGATATTTGCTTGGTTTGCCACACTCCTTCAGTTTGAAGTACAAACAATAAATTAACACATGTGTTGATCTGGAAATGATTTAGATCTTGGTACACGTAAAATGACATACTGTATTCTTTAGGCGGATGAGCTCGTTTTCAAAATTCATATTAGTTTATAATGATTTATAAATCAATATATAAATTCAATTTGCCTAGTTCTCATGCAAATACTGAATTAAATCTAGATCTTATGGTTTTGAATATACCTGGTTATTTGCAGCGGAAAGATGAATAAACCATGTCGAAATTTCAAGCACTCCAAATGTCGTGCTTCTATCGGTATCCACACGAACATAAACTGGATCGATACGAGCCATCTAGATCCTATCTCAAAACTTGACAAACTCTTTTTCTCTCTCTTAGGGTTTTGGTATTACACGGCCAACACACACTTAACCTATTCTGAAACATTATAGTAACTATATAATTAAATGCATGTGCCCTAATCTCACGTGACTACATTTATTGGACCAGCCCAATAACAAATGTGAATGTGTAATCTCTTCCAAAGAGATTGTTTCTCACGTAATTACATATATATATATATATATATATATATATATTTATATCACATATAAAATATATATATCTATATATATATATTTATATCACATATAAAATATATATGTATACATCAGTGCTCATATAAAACTCAAATATATTATTAATCCAGTTTGCTTAGATGTGTAACTCTATAAGATCATATAAAATTAGTAATAGATTCTCAATCCATAGATTATAATCGGTTTCTAACAAAACATTATAACCACCTATTTTTATATGATTGTCGAACCTCGACGTTACGATTTTAACAAGAATAAGTACAAATGAGTTTAGGACATTCCCAACAATCTCCCACTTGTACTAGAATCATTTATTCTTATAATCCTTTTGTCTCTATATCTCGATCTCAGCATAAGGCAAGAACTAGTGTCATCCTTATTAAGCTAGATCATATTTATCGAACTCTGATTGATACTGATTAAACAAACGACTGACATTCACCTCGTTTGAGCGTGGCCATGCATTTTTCAGTATCAAATCTTCGATAGTCCCGGAGATATTTATCTCCCGTTATATGGAAGGGACAAATCCCATCTTGTTACAAACTTCATAGAACACCTAATCAATGCCTTTATAATCACCAGTTACGGCTGACGTTTGACAAGGTCAAAGTGAACTAATCCACAAGTAAAGAATCATGACGAACTCAGGTCTAAGGACTATACTCTATAGCCGTAACGAGAAACTCTTATGACACTCATATAACAATCTTGCAGAGTTCTCATTAGCGGTCCAATCCGATCATGTGTTCTCTAACACATATCCATGTGATTGACTTCAATACCACATATTGAATGACTCCATGAAACTTAGTCATCAATCACCTCACATGCTAGCTATTCGTGGTTATTAATGTCCCACGTTAACAACCTTGACTAGGGACCTCAATAATTTATACCATCTTTCACTTATAAGGTTTCATGATCAGGTCAAGTACTTGATGACCTATAAGGATGATGTAAATTATTTTGGAACATTTATTTTAATTATCTAATAATAAAATAAATCAGAAAAAAATTCATAAGATTTGAATACATAACCAAATGTATGTCAATGTGAACATCATATCATGAACGTAAAACCTCCCACTAAAATTAAGATCACATCTTAAGATACTCAAAGCCTACGGATGAAGTATGACTTTCATGCTTATGGCGTAGAAGAGACTTGATCAATGGATCAACAACTTTTGCATCCGATGAGACTCTGTTAGGGTACCTTGCTTGGAACTCTTCCAACTCACCGTTCAACAAGTTCATCACTTCCTCCACAGTTAAACTTATTCTTAGTATTTCTGTAATGATAGTCTACATAAGTATCTTGACATAATCCAATGGTCTTATTTAATCTATCTCTATAGATTCTTATTCCAAGAAATAACTTTCTACGTTTCTCGAACTTCTTCGAGCTGTACTTTACTCCCACTATTTTTCTTAGAAAGAAATTCTCCTTCTAGAGATCATCATTATGAATAACAAACACTTTGTTCTCATTGGGATTGTAAATGTATAAACTATTGGTTTCTTTAAGACAACCAATAAAGTAGCATTCATCAGATTTTGCATCCAAGCTTATCAGTAAACATATGTTTGTTTGATACACACATCAGAATCCCAAATTATCAGAAAAGACAATTTTGGAACATTTCCAAGTCACATCTCATATGGTGTCTTCTCAACTGATTTTGATGGACATCTACTTAATTAGTGTAAATGCAGACGTTTCTTGTGAGCATCCCCAAAAGGATAATGGAAGAACTATATGACCATCATTGATCGAACCATATCTAATAAAGTTCGGGTTCTTCTTTTAGATACACCATTCAACTGCGGTGTTCCCAAAGGAGTAAGTTGTGAAACAATTTCACAATTTCTCAGATGATCATTAAGCACTTTGACTCAAATATTTTCCACCTCGATCGAATCGAAGAGCTTTAATTTTCTTATCAAGCTTATTTTGTACTTTATCCTGAAAATCTTTGAACTTTTCAAAAGATTCAGATTTATGTTTCTAGATAAACATAACCATGAAGTACTGATAGTTTCCTTTAAAATTTATACTCATTGATCCACATACATCAGTATGTATAAGTTCCAACAAGTCTTTTATCTCTTTTACTATGTCCAATAAGAAAAGCCTTAGTCATTTTACCCAATAATCAAGATTCACATTTCTCATATGATTCTTAATCAAATGAGCTCAAAAGTCCATCACTATGAAGATTTTGATGTGCTTCTCATTTATGTGGTCCAAACGACAATGCTAAAGAAAAACTTGATTCGTGTCATAAGACTTGAACATTTTGATACTAATGTTATCAACATGCACGCTTTGGTTTAGAATATAAAGTCCATTATTTAATTGACATCTACTATAAAAGAAATCACAATGATCAACTAAACAACACTTGTATTTTAATCAAAAAAATGAAATCATTCCAAATCCAAACAATTGAATAATATTTATGCTCATAGCAAGTACATAGTAGCAATTCTTAGTTTCCAAAACCATGCAAGAAGACAAAACAAATGAAATATTCCTACAGCTAATGGAGCAACTCTTGCTTCATTTTCCATGCGAAGGTCCACTTGTCCTTTCTCCAAGACTCTATTGTTCTTTAGGCCCTGCATATTTCCACAAATATGAGTACCACAACTGGTATCAAATACCAAAGAAATAGAATCAGAAATAGTAAAATTTACTTTTGTAACATAAATACCTGAAGATGACGTTTCAGAAATCTTCTTCTTTTTCAGATCTTCCAAGTATTTCTCATAGTTCCTTTTCCAATGTCCAGAACCATTACAGTAATGGCACTTATCAACATTAGAAGGACCATGCTTAAACTTAGGAGAAGGATCAGGCTTGTTTGGATTCGTAATCCAACCTGACTTACTTCTTCCTTTGCTCTTACCTTGTTTCTTAAACTTGTTACCCCCTTGTACCATAAGAACATTTGGGGCCTTCGTTATGTTGGGCTCAGCTGTTTTAAGCACCCCATGCAGCTTAGTCAAAGTCTTTGTCAAGTTGTTCATGTTGTAGTTCATAACAAACTGGTCATAGCTTGACGGCAATGACTGTAGGATGAGATCAGTCGCCAACTCTTGGCTGACAAGACAATCCAGCTTAGCCAAATTATCAATATAACCCATTATCTTAATGACATGCGGGCTAACTGGATATTGGTAGCTTGCACTCAATGAGAGAATTAACTGTTTGCTATCTCTCAGTTCGAGCTTGCTCCTGAAACATACCTTTCAGGCTAGTGATCATGTCAATTGGTGAATCCACGTTCTCGTATTGCTTCTGCAAATCTGAGTTCATGGTTGCCAACATAAGACAACACACATTGACCCTATCACTGACATGCTTCTCATAAGTAGTTCTTTCAGCATGTTGGACATTGGACTTAGGTTTTTCAGATTGAACATTTTCTAGTACATAGTCCTTTTTCTCCTGCTTGAGAACAATTCTCAAGTTTCGATACAATTCAAGAAAATTCGATCCATTCAATTTGTCCTTCCCAAGGACATATCACAATGAGAACGAATAGTGGGGAGTTGACATTTCTGGAATAAAAGAATAGGGAGTGTTAATATGATGTTCAAGAATTGAGAAATCTCAACAATTAAGAAAACTCATATTATATTCAAAACATTT